AGAGAGAGAGAGAGAGAGAGAGAGAGAGAGAGAGAGAGAGAGAGAGAGAGAGAGAGAGAGAGAGAGAGAGAGAGAGAGAAGCAACCTCGTTTCTGGCCAGTGATCGTCTGATTTTAGGGTCCAGATTAAAGAATGGGGGTAAGAAAAAAGAGAGGATTCGCTGCAAGTGGTGGTAGACCGTTTCTGGCCATCCATCATTTGAGTCTCGGGTTCACTTCGAAGGACAGAGGTTAGTGGGAAAAGAACGAGGGCTCAAAACAGAAAAGAAAGAGAAGGAACGAAGGCAACAGAAAAGAAAGAGAAGGAACGAAGTCAACAGAAAAGAAAGAGAAGGAACGAAGGCAAGGGAAAAGAAACGACGGCAAGCGGCTTCATTTCATGCCGCTGAGATCTATGGATGATCTTTGGCATTGAACATTCAAACTGGCCGCCTGCCCCCAGGTCATAGTCTCGTTGAGCTTACTTATATGGTCGCCCTGATCAAACTTCTCCTCGACGCTTAACACAAAAGTTCGTTGACGTCCGGGCCCGGTCAGGGCCCGGTCAGGGTGATTAGAAGCTCCAATCTATTCGTGGGGAGCAATGGAGCATCACGTGCTGAGAACCGGTCTCAGCGTCTCTTCGAAGTACAACTGTCAACTGAGAATATGTAACACATTTGAAATTGCAGGGCCATTACGCTGCTTCGGCTAGAAAAACAATCAGTCAATTACCTATGAGAAACAACTGCAATTCTCAGAAAAACTGCCTATGATCTACCCAGCCACAATCCAAACATGAAAACAGAAATGACGGTTAGTCATTCAAGAAAAAAGTGCTAAAGGTGCTAAAGGTGCTAAAGGTCAAGTGTCCATATTGTTTGTGGTGGGTGGTTCTGTTGCACATTGCTTCTCTACGCTTTTGGTGGCATGCTTTATTTAACAGCCTATACGAAAAGGGGAGAGTTTGTGTTTGTGCGATTCTTTAGGCCTTCAACAGGTAACTAACTGTCTATTGTCCCCCACATGGTGCCTTTGGCGGAGCGATCATGGTGTTTGAGGGTTAAGGGCCTCGCCACACCAATGTCGAAACATGACGACAGTCAACATATGTCAGGAAATTCTCGACATTGCCTCTTTCGACAGAAAAACCCTCTTCGCCACACAGCATGTTGAAGTGAAGAACTCACAAGTCCTATGTACAAAAGAGACAAACTGGGGTGAAGATAGGACAAGCGTAGGTCCGTTCTCCTTTTCGCCATTCGGCCAAGAACTCGACATCCCATGGGAGGACTGTTCAAAATGTCCAAGTTGCAGGCTGAGAAACGAGTCTTGCTCGAGAGGAGGTGTGGAAACCCTTTCCCGGGCAGCTGCTGATCGTTTTTCACACCTCGGATTTCAACATGCTGTGTGGCCAGGAGAAAAAGTCGAAAATGCCGTTTTCGACATTGGTGTGGCGACGCCCTAAGTCGAAAACGCCGTTTTTCACACCTCGAGAGAAGGTGTGCATGTAACTGACCGCTTTCAATCTCACACCCAATTGTCACGGTATTTCCTCCCGTGAAAACCAAGCCAAGTTTGATTCTCAGGGAAGTACTGATGTGCTTGATTCTTTCACACACAATAGAACCACAGCATGCTGGCAGCAAAGAGATGCTGAAGAAGAAGTTGATGGTGGTATGTTGACTAAGTTGTTCTCGGCAAAGGGTGGACAAGGTCTGGTGGTCCAGTGGTGGATACTACAGGCTTCACCCGGCCGGTCATCATGGCTGCAGCTGGAGTGAAAAAGGCCCCAAATGCAGGTTATGAAACGGTTTTCACCTCTTTGCAGTAGCAGATGCAGATCCCAGGGTTAAGGGTTCGATCCCTAGACCTTGCCTTACCTGTGTACAGTACCTGTGTGGACCCCGAGAGTTGAACCTGTGACCTGTGTATTCGTAAACAGTTGGTAGGCTGTCATAGGTCCTTAGGTGGCAGGGGTTCGATCTGTAGATCTGTAAAATAGAAGTCTTAGCGAGTTCCAGAAGTCTTAGCTGTAGCCCTTCTAGAAGGTCAGCAAGTGGGCAAGTGGTGAGTCAAGTGGTGGACTAAACTATAGTGCAATTGCAGTATGACCTCGTTAGGATAGCAGTGAGTCTCCACTCAGTCAGCTGTAAGGTCCAGTCAGTCCCAGTTCGGTCCACCAAGGTCCACGAGGGACTGTGAGCACCATGGGCCAAGAGGCAGCGCCCAGTCATTCATTCATTCCTGCGTGAGCCATGCGACTTGTGCAAGGAGGTCTGCAGTGAGCCCGGAGCTGAAGTGGGTGAGAGAGGTGGAGCGTGGGCGAGAGAGGTGGAGCGTAGCATAGCGATAGGGTAGTTGCGGCCATAGCCGCCATAGCTAGAGTTAGTGTGTAGTGTGTGTGTGTTTGTGTGAGTTCAGAGAGTCGCGTGTGGGATAACCAGGGTGACCCGGTGTATGTGAACAGTGAGTTGTTTGGGCGCTGAGCCGCCATAGCCAATTGGAAGTGAACTCGTATCTGGACTCCATATCTCTGAGTTTTGAGTGGGCGCATGTCGCCAGTTTGTTGCGCTACTGTTTACATGCATGAAAAGTGTGAATGAAAGTGAGTCTGATTGCAGTTATATTGAACGGGCGTTATATCAGGGTGAAGAAGGTAGTGATTTCTGCAGCAATCTGCTTGTAGGACTTGGAAAAAAAAAAAAGAAAAAAAAAAGGCACTTTGTTTTTGCTTTTTTTTTGTCTCCAAGAACAGTTCAGATCGTTTCCTGAAGAGTCCCCGAGGAAGGAAAACAAAGGACAACTCCAGCCCTTTGGCCCCCCGTGAGGGGGGAGGGGGGCGGACTTCAGCCACTTGCCCTGTGAGGCTCTTAATCGCAGTTGGACATTACCCAGACCTAGTCCTCAAGAATGTCTCCCCAAAAGGGGCAAGGGATCAATGAGCAACCCTTCCCCGCAGCTCTCATGAAGATCAGGGCTCCCCGCTGGCAGAAAAGGCCAAGAAAGGGAAAGATGGCCTTAGATTCGGAAGAAGAGCAGCCTTTTGAAAGAGACCCCGAAATCTCTCTCAAGAAAGCTGCCCCCAAAAGAAAGAAGAAACCCGAATTTCTGAGGAAGAGGCACTCAAGCAGCCACTCGGACTCCGATAGCAAAGAAATCAATATAAATGGGTATGTCAGACGACGCAAGAATCAATGAATCAATACCATGTTCCAAGAGATCATTCTAGAGTGCTGCAGCCGAAGAGGTGAGATACTTTCGACTAAAATAGCGCGTCGCAATATTTTCTAGCAG